ACGGCCGGTCCCAGCCGGTGCTGCCCGGCCTTCATTTTGTGAGGTGAGGGCGGGCTCAGGTGCCGGCAGAGAAAATGGAGCGGCCCTGCCCCGGGGGGCCCCCCTCGCCCCTCGGGGTCCCCGCCGCCCGCCACGGGCACCCGCGCCAAGGGTCGCTTGGTGTTTTCTGAGGGTGGGAAAAAAAAAAAAAAAAAAAAAAAAAAGGAGAAACGGAAAAAAAAAAAAGAAGGAAAAAAAAGCCCCAGGAGAGTCACCGGACTGCGTCGTGGAGTCCTCCTCGTTTTATTTTCAGGCCGGACGAGGAGGGCCAGGCTGAAAGACGACGCCTGCCGCCCCCCGGGCTTTCCCGGGGTATCGCAAGGAGGAAAATCTTCATCCTGAGCTAACGCAACGACGTGTGCTGGTAACAGAATAAAAAAAAAAAAGAAGGAAAAAAAAGCCCCAGGAGAGTCACCGGACTGCGTCGTGGAGTCCTCCTCGTTTTATTTTCAGGCCGGACGAGGAGGGCCAGGCTGAAAGACGACGCCTGCCGCCCCCCGGGCTTTCCCGGGGTATCGCAAGGAGGAAAATCTTCATCCTGAGCTAACGCAACGACGTGTGCTGGTAACAGAATGACAGGGCATCTGCAGCGAGGTGTGATCGATCAACAGAAGTTTGCATTCATCAGCGATCTGAATATTCCGTCTTTGAAAAAAAGCGCACCAAGATTTAGGAGGAGGGGGAGCGGACCTGACAGCCCGCCGGCCAAGCCGGGCATTGCTCGGCCGGGCAGCATGGAGGGAGAGCGGCCGTGCACGGCCGAGCACCGGCAGCTGCTGCAAACGCTTCTCGTCAGCCCATGTCCAGGGCACCGGGAGCCGGGATGGACGGCGGAGCCGGGCTGGCCGGCCGTTTGTCCAGCCGATGGTCCCCCAGGCCGAGGGGAAGGGCGGCTGCCTGGCCGAGCCGCAATATACCACACGCACCTTCCCAAAAGCCCTTCCCCGAGACGGACCAACAGCACCTCCGCTAAGGAGCTACCGCAGCCCGGCTCAGGGATCCCCTCTGCTGCGGGGGGTACCCCTCCTACCTCCTTGTGCTTGGAAGAGAGCAACATCAATACAAAGCCTCTATGCACGATACCGCTGCTTTGCACAAAAAAAAAAAAAAAAAAAAAAAAAAAAGCAAAGCTGCCTAAGCCATTTCATAGGACGACGATAAGAAATGTGGAACTAGGAAGTAAAACCTTGCCCCTAACAGCTCTGCAATCAACCCCGTCCTTTACTCGGGCTGTGAAGCAGGAGGAGACGAGAGCGGGACCGCCCGTCCCTGGCCTGACTTCACCTAAGGGCTTCCCCGAACCCCTGTGATTTCCTGGTTTGGCAAGACGCATTATGATCTTCCTGACAGCCACATTATAAGGTGCTGATCTAATAAAAGCTGCATTAGAAACCACTGCATTCAGAGTTTTAAAATCATGTATTTCCACAAAAGCATTAAATAGTCTTATCTATTTAGGACCATCTACGTTACACCAGTTTTGAGTCTGTTGACATGCGACCTCATGGAGGAAAACTCTTCTGGAAGTGGGGAGATAACTATATATTTTTTAAGGCAACACATATTGACCACAGCAACAAAGTCCACTCGTATTCAGTCTTACAGGATTTACATCCTCAGCAGCGCGACCAACTAACTGCATAGCGGATGAGGTGGCACACGACTGAACTCCAGAAATGTAGACCAGAGCTCTGCAAAACAATCTTCCTTCAAAAAGGAGTTGGCTTTACTCTTTTGTTAGCCTGTGTGTAAAGCAAAAAATTCAAAGCAGATGTTTCAAAATAAGAAAGACAATGGAAATATCACCACTTTCAGAAAAATACTGCCACCAGCAGTTAATAATTTGGGATAACTGCCCCGATACCATGACCTTTATCCTCTGAAGCCATCAGCCATATCCTTTAGCTAAATAAAGACATAGTTCTATTATTCTCTCTTCAGCTTTCGTAAGTGTCGCTGTCTCAATCATTTGGACTCTACGCTAGAAGATGAAAGCAGGGGTGCTGCCCCGTTACGTACACCCATTGAAGCATTCGCAGCAATAAAACACAAATTTTCCAGAGACCTTGCAGAAAGTTTGTGTAAGGAATCAAACGCAGACCTCCTAAGTCACTCGGTACCCTAAGAAAAAGGCCATGCTTCCTCCAAGATCCTCTTTTAAAACCTCAGAGCACAAGGACAGACCCATCACGCTATTTGAGAGTTTTCCTTAGTGTCTTGGAGCATCCTGTAGCAATTCAGAGCAGAACAACTATTCCAGAAAAGACCCAAATCAAACAAAAAAGCCACTTTCCCATGGGGACACTGTGTATTTATTTGCTGATTTGAAGGAAAGAAGAGGGTCAGGTGGCCGAATCCAGCCTTGGAGGTCTGCTTCCACTTAGCTGGGCCGGAGGAAGATTAATTAAGTTTTTGTCTTGAAGAGGATACCTCCGAGGTCTACGGTACCTTGAGGCAGACTCAGCTTTTCTAACAGATCCACCTTCCTGCATGACAGA